ATCCAAAGTATTTACAAGGTGTGGGGTGTTGGGTATTTATAGGAGGGGAGGCATCTAGGGTTGCATTTGGAGTAGGCAAATGCATTCCAAATGAAATGCAAATGAACCCTAGATGCAACTTGGTGGCCAAGGATGGAATCTTTGGGTTTAGATTGGCTATATCTAGGTGCATGATAAGACCATGCAACCTTTGCCCTCCACTTGGGCCTAAGCCTTTCTAACACCAAAAATAGATCCAATGAACACCAAAAAAATGTGTCACCCTTCTAGTTAACACCCTAGCCCAAAATTAAAAACCCTAATCATCTTGAGCACCCCATAATACAAGGGTAAAAAGGGAAATACAAGGGAAAATAAATCTAAGTTCTAAACACCCCAAAATACTAGGGTAAATTTGGAAATACAAGTAAAATAAATTCTATGATTAAAAAGAACTTAGGAGCTAAGGTCCAAAAGTGGCCTCACTAACCCATTCCTCTTGCCTCCTTTAATATATCACCTCTTGGTCTTCTCGGCCTTAGTATTATTCCATCAAACTTCGTCCAATGATTATCGTTCATTACAACTTTCTTTAGACGAAAAGCACACTTGTTTGATTTATTATCTTAAAGAACAATTTTTGTTTAAGAAGCATTTTCTCTGTGCAAACGATAAACTCTCAAATGCAAGAATCTTTTGTTGAACCAAGCTTGCACATTTTTTGTTAAGCATTCAAAATAATATTTTTACTGGACGAAAATGAGTCCTCTGCGAAAATGTTTTTAAAAATTACTTTGTTTACACTCACACGTATTCAACCCCCCTTCTATGTGTTTTTCTGCTAACTTCAAAAAGATTAAGAATTGATTGAGTTATGCGACTTATAAGTTTAGTCTCCATTCCAGTGCACGAAAGATTAAGTTTAATGTTGTCAGCCATGCGAGGTGACCATAAAGACATTTTTAGGCTTCATGTTCCAAAAGTGGTATCTTTGGGTGTGATATTTTTAATGGCTTTGGAATCACTAAAAAATAATGTCTAGAACTCTAGATATGACTATTTTAGTGAACAGGGGTCAAGCTGTCAGCGTGAATTATATCTATTGTGGTTTTTGACATTTTTAGCTAAGTAGATGATTTTTTTAGAATTCAATGTCTACATAAGAGTTGTATATGATCCTCTTATATTTCTTTTGAGATAGGTTGGAGCTTATTTGGATGGGTATAACTCTGTGTGTTGTTTTCTTTGATAGTTTTCAAAGGGAGACGTATGTTGTTTTGATGTTCTAAGGTGTTATCATGTGAATTGAAAAGTTGTGTAAAGTAGTATGACCCTAGGTTGTAGAGTTATTTCATATATGTATAATGATGAGATGTGGATTCATGGTGAATTGCTTAAGGGGTATGTGAACCACTGTTTTTTGTGTACTTATCCATATTGTGTTTGTGATGTGGAATTGAGTTATGGACTGTTGTGTGATGTATTGGCACAAATGTATACATATTGTATGTACCATTTTAGTATTGAATTGATAGCATGATGTGGCGAATGCTACGTTATGGCTTAATTGTTCAATTAATTATGATGTGAGTATGTTGGCACGAAATGAAATGTTGTGTTGAATGTGAATGTGATATGATTGTGGTTCCTCACACTTATGTCGGTGTGGCACGACCTTGGGCAAGAGATGCTACAGCAGTGGCGCGAGCATGGCATAATGTGGGATGTGTGAGACAATTAACACGTATGTCGGCGTGGCACGACCTTGGGCAAGAGATGCTACAAAGGTGGCATGAGCATGGCATAGTGTTAATTTCAAGATTTGTGTGTGACAATTAGTACTTATGTTGGCGTGGCATGACCTTGGGCACGAGATGCTACAGGGGTGGCATGAGCGTAACATAGTACAAATTATTTGATGTGATGGATTGGTGTGATTGAGAATTGTGATGTAAAGATGATGCATGATTGATAGAATTATGATATATAGAAATGGTTGTAAATATTTCTTTATGTAATGAGTTATGATGATATTACATTGTGGTGTGTTTGTATGTGCTTTACATATAAATTTTTTCTTTTCTCACCGTACAATTTGTGAATATTTTAGGTGAAGAAAATCCGGCTATAAGTGACATCTAGAATGCCAATAGTTGAGTTGTGGGTGTGCTTTGATATTGTGACATCGAGGTAGAGGATTTATAGGACATGGATTGTTATATGTATTTGGAGTTATACTTATTATTTTGAAAATAATTTGTAAACTCTTATGTTTTATTTTCTAACTTTTATTTTCAATTATTTTAGATATTGAAGAATATTTATGAAGGTTTTTATGTAGACCATTTTACCAATGTTAAAAAATTTATTTCTTTAATTTATTTACATTATTACAATGTATGTGTTGGGGATAGTAAGGGTATCACAATGTACAAATATAAAAATATATATGCTAATATTATTATTATTTTTAAAATATATGTACTAACACGTATTTATAAAAAAAATTGACAGCTATATTTATCAATAATATAAAAAGTTATAAATTATAAATTTAATTCGTATCCATTACACACTTAACTCACTCTAGTTATCTTATAAAATGAAATTCATTTTTCTATTAAATTTTACCTTGCAATAAAGATGAAATAAAGTATTCAAGAATAATATTACTAATTATTAATTATTTATTATATTTATTTGTTTTATAATAAGTATTGAATAATAAGAAAAAAATTTGTTACGAAATTAGTGTTATAAGTCGCTTAGCTGTTAGCTGTTACCGCAAAAACAAGGGAACAAAAAATGTCCCATTATAAAATACTTGCAATCTGCCATTAAAAATTGTGGATGTTTGGGTCATTAACTGTTGCCTGTCAATTCATAGTACACCATCGGCCTTCTCAAACTTTGTCGTGGATGGATTCTCTAATACATGGCCCTCTCTCACTCTCTCTAACTCACTCTTAAGTTGGTCCAAAACTCCACAA